CTCTCTCTCTCTCTCTCTCTCTCTCTCTCTCTCTCTCTCTCTCTCTCTTTCACACACACACACAGAAAATTTGTGTTTGGGAAGTAAGAATAGTTAACTCTTCTCTAGATACAATTTAAAACATTAAGTTCCAACTGAGGTCAAAATTTTTTATTGTACAGCAAACAGTTCAATGTAACAAAGATCACCTGAGCCCTGACGGAAGGCCCACTTAAACGCTCTGAGTGAGTTCCAACAAAATTTGCTACCACCAAATTAATGTGTACTTATGCTTTTGCTCCCAAAGTTTTCATATATAATACCTTTCATTAATATAAAAATGACAAATTAAAACTTGCTTGAAGGTCAGTGGTGTGCTGGATGGAGAGCATTAGACTGGAAAACAGGTCTGAGGTACATTTTCAGTTCTACTTACCTTCATGAACGCAGGAAAATTCTTAACTCCAGCGTCACTTCCAGTACTTACCAGCAGTAAAATAATGAATGTGAATGTACTTTGAAAAATATAAGGCAATCAATCTGTAACTGGAAAGCATTCCCTCAATCAACAAGTTGACAACTGAACAACAATCCATTTAAAATCACACACAGTAATCCTTACTTTTCTCTGCAATGGCCAGGCACATCTGTTCCAACATGAGGGTTTCTGTTATTGTTGTGGATTTTTCTTAAACCCGAGATTGTACCCCAAGATAAACGCCTACCAATAACTCAGAAGAATTTTGGTTCATGTTTGGTGATTTGAGACATGGAAAGAAAGCTAAAGACCCTGCTTGAGTATTTATGAATGTATAATAGTCTGGTGTGCTTAATTAAAGTCCTGGCCCTGGTTTCAAAGAGATGTTTCGCTCCTAGCTGACATTTTTTATCCTGGAAGCATCAGTCTTAAAATAGAACAAATGCAAGTGCATAATGATTGCCAACAATGTTAGCTAACTTTAACTGGATGAGTGCCTCTTTAATTGTTTAGGTCAAATACCTCATTACTCCAAAGAACTATCCAGATTTGGTGAAGATGGATGATGAATGCTGGATAAAATAAGTAAACCATCAATTATAGCTGGAGATTGTCTGCTATCTGGAGATAATATTCTACTTATTTACAATAAATAAGTCTAATACAGTAAAAATGATTTTCTTTCAGCACCTATAATTTATAGCAACGGGACTTGGCAGCAGGACAATGACAAAATGCTTGGGCTTCCTATGTTGTGATAATAGGAACTAAATTGTAAAAGGCTAATTACTAGTTTTGGCCTTTTAATACTATCATAATATAACTAATTTGACTGACCAATTATTTCATACATTCTACAGCTGCCCATTTCATACTCCTATGTCTTGAATAAAAATACCAGGGAAATTCACATCCCAAATCATTTCAATGCATCAATTTTATATCAGGTAAAGCATTAAAAGAAGCAAAAAAAGCACACAACGGTTTAGGAATAGATGAAATCATATGGGAAATGACACTCTTCTAAATGCTAATGTGTTCAAAAGCTGAAGCCTTGATCATCAAGGAATTGCTTTAAAAATATTTCATTCATCAAAAAATTACATGTTCAAGTTATATTCTGGGTGTTTCTTTCTAATTGGTTTAAACAAGCAACTACAAAATACATGAAGCTTGACTATAGATAAATAAGGTTATACATTCATTACTTTTATATTTCATGATAGAAATGGTCTTAGTGAATTATAATCTCACTTACATCATGAACAGATCTCAATATAAGGATCCCAACTTTTAAAAGTCATATGAGATACTTTTAATGAAAGAAAAGACACAAAAAGTGACACAGAATTTTAACTTAGTTTGGGGTTTCTAAATGTAGTTAACAGTCACAACTAGGATGCTGGTCCTAACTACATAATAATACACACATACTATATCTCTATGCTAGTTCTAAACACATTCCATAGATGGAAATTAACTTATTGAGCTGTGTTACTCTCAACATCACGCCTTTGTGCCTTGTTTATAACACAGTTTCTTAACATGATTATTCAGTTTTTAAATGCTAGATAATAAAATAAAGACAAAACATAACTGGAAGTTCATCTATAGCTTTAGAGAAAAACATGATCAGATTCATTTAACCTGTTTTGAATACTTTACAGTCACCACTTTATCAAGTCACATTAAAATGCTAACTAAAGTCATTTTATGCAATAGGTTTTTTTACAATACCATACCTCCTCCCATGCCCTTCCATATGATTGATATATTGTAGTAAACTACATGTCAAATATTTCTTTAGCACCAAGAAATTGCTAGTTTTCAGAAAACTAAATCATTAGTTTAAATGCTCAAAATTTCATTTTTGTATTAAACCATCAACAACAAAAAAAAAACCATTTTATTTAGAAAGTGATTTCATGCTCCAAAATGCTTCCATAGTCATTCAATTATCTCAATGTAAGTTCCTGCCTGTAAGTTACAACCACAATGATGTAGTCCCACAATAAAGTTAGGGATTTGTTCAATAAACAATACAATGAGAGCATCTTCAATCTCTCAATATAGCTACAAGGTCATTAATCAGTAATTTATGTAACTATAAGTCATTGGATCTCAATAATCCTCAGTTTATTTAAAGAAGAGTATGATTTCATTATTTTTAGTGTGTGTGTGTATGTACAAAGATCAGAATATTAGAAAGTGTAGGCATCATTTTTTAAAAAATCACAATGTCCCAAGCAGCTACTCTTTGGCTGTGGAATTTGACTTCAGAGTTGTACACAGTACCTTGAACATTTAGGCTTCCACATAAGATCGGATTATGTTCTTGAAAATGGAATTATGACTTTTAAATATATATACCTATGATAATAGTGCTTGATGTGTGTCCCCTCTCTCTGTGTATGTGTGTGTGAGGGTGTCAGTGGGTATATGTGTGTCTGTGTTGGGGAGGAGTTCACAATTAAAAGGACTTTTGAATTAAGTCCTTTGGCAAGCCAAATCATCCTTTTGTTGTTTTAATGATCATTCTTTTGACGTGTCTGTCTGTACTGCAAATGTGAGTTTTTGTATGGCAAGTTTTCTATAGCAAAGAGAGAAAGAGGAGGTAGGGGGTACACCTGTGCTAAATGGGGAGCTTGTAAGGTGACTGCTATGATCAATCCCAGCTTGTTCTGCCTGATCAAGCACAGTGAGCAAAGAGACAATCACAAAAGCATTCCAGAGAGCAAAGCAAAACTCTACCAAACTGAGTGCCGGAATGAAAACTGCTGGGGACCAGCCCTTCACAGGGAAAGCAGCCCGCTCTTCTAAAGAGAGAAGGCAGGGCAGACCACAAGGGTATCATCTGCAAACATTACTTGAGACTCTCTCAAGACAAAGTTGAGCAATTTTGTTCACAGATTCATTAAGCTTTGTTCTTACAAGTCCTTCACTTCCTTCAGAAAATTAGACCTTGAAAGTCTCCCACTGCTCCAGGGTTAGCTGCCCTGGGTAGGGGTGCGGGGGGGGGGGGTGTCTTTCTTCTTCCTCCAGCCTTTTTATCTTTTTCTTCTCAATTTTCAGAAGACTACCCAATTCAATGTTTTACACGCTTTCTAAACCTTTGAAACAATATGCATATCCATAATCAAGGTACCACTACATCCTCTTCAGAGGGTAGGATACGGGAGCTAAAAGAAGAAAAATGAAACACAGCAAAAGTAACTTGCCTTTCCCTACCAATGACAGAAAAGGAACACACATGTTTTCTCTCAATCCTGTGTAAAAACAAAACCAAATCAGCACAGAAACACTTTCCAGAGCCGAGTATCTCTTAATCATGTGGGGTTTTATGCATCTTCTCTCCTTTCAGCTGACAACCAACTGTTAACCTTTTAGGCAAACCAGAGCAAACTAGCCAAACAATGACTGCCTTTTAGAAAGTAAATATGCTAATAGTTGGCTTGTTAACTGCTGAACTCTCTGCATTCTCTTTCAATCACTACCTTAGGTTGAGTACACATAGAAAAGTAACTTTTAGTTGTAGCCTGGAAAGTGAGTGCATAGAACTTAGCATCTGAAGAATTTAGGGAAGGGGAAGTACATTTGAAAGCATCCTCATGCTCTGGGTCTTTTAGTTTTAACTGCTCCTAAGAAGTTAATGCAACGTTTAACAATTGGCTCTGTCAGAGAAATTTACGGGTTACGTAAAAGCTAAAGGTTTCACAAAGACCAAAAAGGTATCATGTGAAAAATTAAAACTGAATTCTACTCTCTCTCTCTCTCATAACACTAGGAAATGAACTATCAGGTTACGTATCGCTAACAGCATACCAACTAACGCATCAACTCACCTATTAATTAATTTCCAATAACTTCAGGAATTTTAATTATAAATTCACCAACCTCATTTCGGAGAGTGGTCACTTGTAGTCACGTCTGGCAAAGTCCATTCTCACGTAAATGTCATCGTCGTTGTCCTCAAAATCTGCTCTCTCTCGGGGTCTCAGCACCCGACGCTGGCGAGGTGGCGGTGGGGGAGCAGCTGCGCCAGCCGCCAGGTCTCCACCTCTGGCAGCGTGGTTAAGGGCTCCAGGATTCCAGCCTGCGGCAAAGTCCTGGACCTCTCTCACAGCGTGGGCACCACGAGCATTAGCAACAGGTTGGAACCAGCGAGTGGAGGCGGAGTCAACTCCTGCAGGGGAGTAGAGGTCGGCAAAGACTTCGCCAAAGCTGGGGGCCGCTGCGAGCGCAGAGACCACTGCTAAAGCCCGGCTCACTGCCCAGCGGGGCGCCCTAGCTGGAGCAGCAAACACCGCAGACGCTGCGGGAAAGTCTCTGTCCAAGTTGTCAGTAGAGGAAGCCGAGATAGCGCCTCGAATGTTGGCAAATAAACTTTGGGAGCGGCTTTGTGGGCGTCTTCTCTCCTGCACTTCCCCCTGCAGCAGCCTAGCTACAGGTGGCAGTTCAGCGCATCGACCGGGAGAGAGAGAAGCATCCATGCAGCACTCAGAAAATGGGTCAACTACATAGATTTCATCGGTTTGAGCATCATAGCAAATGGCACTGTCCGCAAAAGGCACCGCTGGGTTGAAAACTACTTCAATGTATTCACCCACTTCCACTGGGTTTACAGTTACTTCAACGTATTCACCCACTTCCACGATGCTACCTATAACATTGCCTGGGAAAAGACGAAAGGGCCTCCTAGCACCGGCTAGCGGGATGGAGTTGGCACCTGGTAGAACTCTTAAAATATCTGAGGGGCCGACTGTTGGATTTGGAAAGGGCACCCCGACTTCAACATTCAGGTAGCTAGAAAAAGCTGTGGGTCTGGGGTCAGTAACTACGCCCCACAAGTGTGGCAGTCCTCGAGCAGAGGGAGCTAGCACAAGGCGCTCTCTCTTAATAAAGTGAATGTTGTTATAGTCACGGGAGCTGTCAGCTTCTCTCTGCTCCTGTGTGGCATTAGGTTCTTTAGCTTTGTTGACTGAGGGCACATCATCTGAAGGCTTTGCAGATGACCCCTTATCTTTAGGCTTTGAGAATGACCTCTCAGTTGAAGGCTTTGAAAATATATCTTTGGTGCCCTGGCTAAAGGAGGCTTCTTTGTCTAGACCGCTCCCCAGGAATTTCCCAGGTAACATCGGAACATACTCACTGTGGTCACTCTGTCCCAAAGGTGAACTCTGAAGAGGACTTGGCAGAGAGAAGTAAGAGCTCCAACTTTTGGACGAAGAGCCTCCCTGAGGATTGGGAGGATGTTTAGGAATCGCACCTGCTCCAGGAGCCATAAACATGTAATCACTGTCACTGTCATTGTCCTTTGAGTCATCCTCTTTATTAGTATCTGGTGCTTTCGGAGCACTTGGAGCAGGTGGTGGTGGGCTCACTCTGGGAAACATCATCATGTACCCTCTGGAGTCTTCAAAGGGTGACCTAGAGTGACGCTTTGTTGAAGCAGAGGAATTCTGAGGAGCCATTGGCATGTAATCACTGGAACACGCAAGAGGAGCAGCCACCCCTGGCCTCATTGGCACATATGGGTCATCCTCATCTTCATCGAAAGCTCTGGCTCTGTGAGGCCCCCGGGTTGCACCTTCTGGGGTCTCTCTATTTCTGGCCTCTTTGGCATCTTTGCGTTCTTTTGTGCCTCTGTCTGCGCAAAAATAAAGTCGGAATCTTCCCCCAGACTTTCCTTTGCCACCAGTTGCTCCAGCTGCTGGTGGTGGCGGCGGGGGTGGAGGCAGCGTTTGCTGCTGCTTGCTTTGAGTGAATTTACTAAAGTAGGATCTTTTCTTCACAGATTTTCCACGGTCACCATCGTCAGAATTTTTCCCACTTCCTGAGCCTTTGCTCCCTCCCGAGTTCTTGCCACCATCTGACCCACGACCATCTCCAGGTCTCTGACCACCACCTGAGCCATGGCCACCTCCACCTGAGCCATGGCCACCTGCCATGCCCTGGCCATTTCCTGAACACTGGTTTCCTCCAGCACCCTGGCCTCCTGAACTCTGGCCTCCTGAGCCCTGGCCACCTCCAGATCCCTGTCTCCCACCTGAGCTCTGGCTACTGGAGCCTTGGCCACTTGAGCCCCGTCCACCTCCTGAGCCCCGGCCATTTCCTGAGCCCCAGTTGTTCATAGGTATGTAATCACCTCCGTTTCCTTCCTCACCTTCCTTGTCTTTTTCTTCAGTGTTGCCAGAGCTGGAACCTGAGGCTTCACAGGCTCTGTCGTTGGGGGCATCTTCAGGCTGGGGGATACGTCCCGGGCTAGGTGCTGAGCGTCGGAAAAGGCTGGGTGGTACTGACGCGGCTCTTCTGGACCTGCGGGCTCTGGGCAGGTGCCCTCTTCCTCGCCTGAAGGGAGGTGGAGGCTCTCTGGGTGCGATGAAGCGCCTGGTGAATAGCATCTCTGCTTCCCTGCCGCCGATAGCCCTGAGGCGGCAAAGCTGCTCAAAGTGAGATCTTCTGAACCAGCCGCTGGGCTCCAGCGAGAGCAAGCCCAGGTGCCTCCTAGCGGACAGCAGGGTTAACAGGTGGGCGCCAATACTGATGCTGTAGGTGCGGCATCGGGCTCTGTATTCATCTGCGCACAAGGCTCGCATCTTCTCCAAAAACAACTCATGCATATTTTGGGCCACCACGGAGTCATCCACCTGCATCCACAGCTCCCCTGGACCGATGACAGTGGACCTGCCGACTTCCAAGAAGAAAAAGTGCTCTGAGTGCCCACAGCGACGAATGCTCAGCAGCTGGAAGACCATAGTGGCCACTTCGGTATTGAGCCTTACAAACACCACCTCTTCGTCTGTAAGACACAGCCGGAACACGCCGCTCAGCTCTTTTCTGTGCCCCAGCCCCCTGGGTTTCACTACTACCTGCCACACATCTTTGTAGAAGGGTGGCTCCGACACCGCTGCGGCCGCCAGGGCTCCCAGCTCTCCTTCCGGCTGCGCGCCTAGCGTGCCGCAGCGGCGGCGCTTGCTCTCGAGGATGAGGCGGCTGAGGAGCAAGTACCAGCTTTCTTGTTCCGACTCGTTTTCGGCCACCATCGCGAAGTATTCGTCCTGGGTAAAAAGGGCAATGAGATATCGGTACCTGGCATCGGCGCGCTGGCTCACAGAGAAGCATTGGTACAGGATGATCACGCGCCGCGGTGGGATGAGCGCGGGGACCGCAGCACCTGAGGCAGCCGCCTCTGCTGCAGCCGCCGCGGCGCGGACACTGTGCCGGAACTTCCTGGCATTTTGGTAGTATTCGAGCCGAGCCGGAGCGTCTTCGGTCTCCAGTTTGAGCACGAAGTAACGCCTATGCCCATGCTTCTGCTTCCGCAGGTAGCCGCGTTTGCAGACTTCTTCCCCGACGGGGAGGTCCTCCTCTTCGGACTCGGAGTCTGACCGGGAGCCAGTGGCTGGGGAGAGCCACATGGCTCCCGGACAGGACGACCCGGTCCCAATGAGTGCGGTTGAGGTTCCCGAGGAAAGATGCGGGGTGGTCGCCACTGCTGCTAGAGCTGCGGAGGCTGCTGCTGCTGCTGCTGCTGCTGCTGCTGTTGCTGCTGCTTAGGCTCTCTGTCTCCTTAGCGCTTGGTGGCCAGCGAAGGAGCAACTCGCCATGGTGACGCACGGTGGTTTTAAGGTGAGCGGAGCAGAGGGGGGGCTCGAGAAGGGAGGGCTTTGGGGGGAGAGTAGGCAGTCTCCCCCTGTCTGCCCGCCCCAGACCCCTCCCGCCTAGGCCCGCGTCCCCGCCCACTTCACTGGGCTCAAGGCAGTGGGCAAAACAACACGTGACCGTCGCCTCACGCGGCAGCTCGCACCAGAGGCAGCTACCCAAGCGGTGGAGGGGCGCAAGCGGCCACCAGTAGAGGTGTGCGTGGGATGGGGACTGGGAGCCAGGGAAGCAGGGCCATCTTCAAATCGGCAGAGACCCTTTGGGTGAATCTAAGGGCCTTTGGTTCAAGGCAGAACCGACGGGAGGAGGCGGGGCTCTCTAGCCACACCAAGCCTAGTCCGGAGTACCAGAAGAATGGGGTGGAGGGTAGATGTAAGAGATGAAGAACAGAGCGGCCAGCCACCGGAGCAAGATGGACTGCTGCAGCCCACACTCATTTGGGTGGGGGGGGGGGGGAATAGAAGTATTGGGAGGGGACTGGGTTCGCAGAACACCGGATGGTTTGTTTGTTTATTTAGGAAGGGGGGGAAACCAGGTGAAACCACTGCACGGTTCTGATTGGTTAGGATACGAGCCAATAGGAGGGTCCAGCAAGGGGGTGGCCCTGAATACATTAGTTTAGTGGAAGGGGGGCAGTTGGGGGATGAGGGGGCGTGGTTGGGGTCCCAGAGTGGGGCTTCTCAATCTGGTTGTCTCTGGATCAGGCTGTAAACAACCCTCGGAAAATAGCTGTTAATGGTGGTGATAAATTCCTGCAAATCCCAAAGCAGCAGTGACCCCTCTGCCAAGACCGCTTTCTCGGTTTCCCTACAGCTCACGTTTTCCCTTCCGATCGCAGTTTACTCTAGTTCTGCCCGCCTCTCATGTTGAGCTGTGCTTCTTAGCAGAAAATGTCAGTTATCTCTGGAAACGTGGTAAAGACCTGGGTCCTCAGACCTGCTGCACACCAGGCTGCACTCCAGGCTGCACACGCCTCCTCGCCCTCTCCACCCCTGACAAAAGCCAGCGACTCTAAAGACTCGGGAATTACGGCGATGCCTTCAAAATTAATGCTATCTGCACACAGAGTGTATTTCTAGTCCAGGAAAACACAGGTTTGCTAGATGTGGTGTTTCTGTTTGATTGATGACGACTATAAAGTACAAATTTGAGGGCCTGCGAAGTATACAGCCATGTTGGAAAAAGCCGGACTTGATTCTTTCTGAAAAACGATATTGAGCTGTCGTGATATTTTTCTCGAGGGCAGTACTTTAAGCTGTACCTTTAAGGAATTAACAAATATTAACTTTCTTTTTCCTTGAAGGAGACTGGGAAACTTTACGAAAAGAAAAGCTCCTATCTAGAACAAAGGACTGTATGAATACTTGTCCTTGAATATATTTTACATCCTTTACTTCAGGAAGGTCTTTGCTTCATTTCAGTTTACAAATGACATCACAAAAATAATGAACCTACTGCCTCCCTTCTTGGAGAAAGTGCCGGAGTGTAAGGTGTAAGTGCAACCTTCTAAAAACTGTCCTCTCCTCTCTTCTCAGTCTCTGCCTTGTCTCTGGCTCTCTCATCTCAGATAGCGACAGGTTGAGATGTTATTAAAGTATCAAAGAAGTGACTGCATTTGAAAAGAGGGATGGTGGAACAAATAGCATTTCTTTGTCAGAGAAAGGAATGTCAGTTTACCTTTCCTATCGTAGATAATGCAAAGGGGAAATATTTATAAATCCAACAGCAAAATAGGCAGGGCTACATCATAAAAATAGATTCCATCTCCTTTTTTCCTTAAGAATTCTCTTTGTTAGCAACAAAAGAAACACATTAAAATAGATGGCACCTTCGTGATGTTCAGGTTCAGAGTGGAGGAAGTGGTTTTATTTGGGCCCCAAAGATTAGGAACAGTCATTAACATGTCTTTTGCCTCCAGCCGTTTATAAATCCAGTGTATTCACAGGTGCTAGAAACAACTGTGCTTTTGGAAATGGGCTGGAGGCAGGCTGAATAAGGGGCTGAAAGCAGCATGAACGTGAATGAACTGGGGTTGCTACCTGCAGGTTTCAGCTGCTTAGTCAGCTATGTACAAGATTAAATGCACTTCAATTCAAAACGATCATGGATACATTAATTTGAAGTTACGTATTTTACAACTTTACAAATTCATGGTTTTGCTTCTGATAGAATTGTAAATAAAAGACAATGCATTTGAAAATGCTGTAACATAACATTTAAACATACATCAAATACATGGAGGTTCTTGTTAAATAAAATTTGGAAAATACTGAACAAATTCAAGAATCCTTATGTCTCCACCACCTGTGTATAAACAGTTTCTACGTGGAGCAGTATAGACTTATATATAATTTTGGTACCTTATTCTTTTCAATCAGCACTATATGGCAATACTTTCCCATATTTCTATGATACCCATACAGTTGTCATAAAACAATATATTCTCTGTTCTAAGGTATATTGTCTAATTAATCATTTTCAGTATTGTAAATACTACTCCCATGAATATCTTGAATCTACTTTAAAATGTTTAAATCATTACCTTTGCAGACTGAAGACTAGAATTACTGGGGTAAAATAGGAATATTTCATACATGTTTTTTGAAGTATTTTATTACTTTATTTTTTATCATAGTATTTGTTGTTATTATATATTCTTCATTTTAAAAATAATGATATACAAAATGCTATCCCACTGTTATAATTTTAATTTTGTTTGTCAGTAAAGTAAAATGTTTATGTGTGTGTCTACCCACTATATATTATGTTCTATGAAGCATCTTTTTAAATCCTTGGATTTATCTGTTGGATTCTCATTATACATATCGACTTGCTTATATAATAAAGATTTTTTTTAAAAAAAATTGTCATATAATTTCAAGTTTTGTTCCTCAGCTGTTTTTCTTCTTTTTTTAAATCACATTAAAATTGGTTCCCTCTTGTTGTAAAGAGAGTTGCTAAATTTTAGTCACGGCGTTTTGTAGTGCAGGCAAACAGAGAGCTAGCTATCCCAACTCCTTATCTCTTTAAGAGATCATATATCTGACCTTGTATGCGTCTTGAAAGGAAAATTCACGTTAGTTTTCATGTCAATTATTAGTAGAGAGAATCTACACTACATCAATTTTATATTTCATTCTGAAACAATATGACGGTAGTCTCTGTTGTAGGTGGAACCGGTGTATTAAAAAAAATAAGAGTGGAAATAATTTTTAACAACCTCAGAGAAAGGTTAGCAATGTGGATCACTTTGTGCCCAATGTATATTATTTGACTATAGCAAAATGGAATTGGAGCTATAGTGAGATGTTTCATGCAGGGATTTCCTTTGTATGTTTCTTACAATAGAAGCGGTTCTGAAAGCGTGAGTCCTGGCGAGCAGAGAGAGTATTTGACTAGAAGAGCATAATTTTCTTCCCATAGGTCAAGCAAAGCTCCCATGTCCTAGAGTTGTTCCAGCACAGAAGCTTTGGGGCGAGATTACCATTACTGAAATGCAGCAGATGCTGCAGCTTGTCTGGCATATATTTAAACTTTCATCTTCATGGACAACTTAATGATATAGAATAGTTGTTCAGTTTAGATCAGGTTTCTATAGGCAAAATAAAGCTCAGGCTTGACATAGATATCTCAGTGGTTCAGAAAAAAGGTATTTAGCCTGAACTTCCACTAATGGTCTCCCCTCCTTTTGCCTGTATGTTGTTGTTTTTTTTTCCATCTTTGACTTGTTGCTAAAGAAGCCAAAGTTGTTTTGTATGTCAAATCATTAATACCTTTAAATTTGGCATCTGAACTGAATCTGATACACATCTTCTAAAGGCAATAGATAAGAAATAATAATATCTACAGTAGTTTATATTTCATTAACTAGTTTAGCTTATGGGAACCTCACAAGCAATGCAGCTAGTATTTTACATCTAGAAACCAAAGGAAATGGATAAGTCATTGTGCTATCTTTATTCTTCCAGTAACAAAAAAATATACACATTTAATGAGATTTGCTTTAAAATGATTTCCTAGGTATCTTTTAATAAAAACGTGATCATTTGACTGACTAGTCCCCATAGTAAAAGTTCACTCTTATCCACATGATTATCAGTATTCAAATTCTAAGTTGTACTAAAATAAAAGTAGCTAATTAAAATGTGAATTTACTTAGCTAAACATTTAAACTGTTACATCAAATATGGACAGTTTCAAGAGATATTATTCAAGAGAATAAAGCATAAGAATTTGCCAGCAAAATAGAGCTATTATTCTTGCCCAATGTGCAAATTATCCTGTAATTATTAACTCTCATCTTTGTGAGCTAATGTCCAATTATGTAGATCAAAATGTGTTAAGACTCTTGATGCTCAAAAATGATGCTAGTGATAATGATTGATTACTCTATGTTTGAGCATAAATAAAGCCATGCATGATGAACATGCTTTCTCTACTAAGCAGAGATAAGGGCTCTCGCCTCTCTTTTCAGATGATGGCTCTGCCGCTCAGGGTTTTTTCCCCCCCTCAAAATCTCTGCTGAAGAAAACAACAGTGAAAAAGCCTGCCTGCTACACACAGCACAGGCCTGTTTTCTGCTTTTGTTTCCTAGCAGTCTGTGGCTAAAGTAATTAGAGCAAATATGTGGTTTAATTAGGCTCCTAAAGCTGCCCTGTTATCTTAGGAGTCAACTGAAAATTAACTCTGTTCACAATTAGGCATTCCTCTCCACCTCCAAAAGAGAAAAGTTTTATTTGTAAATTGCTTAAGTGCATTAAATGTCAGAACAATGAAATAGGATAGATTTCACATAAATTTAAATGATTTCACACTCCATACTTTGTGTATCTTGATACAAAGGAACAGCATCGGTCCTTGCTGTTATGTGTTACAAAACAGGAATTCATACATTCCCCATTTGTCTCCAAAAGTTCTATTTCTACAGGAAATAGGATCATGTATT